TCTGTTCTGTTCTGCATATAGATTGACAAGGTATAGAGATAGGATGTATCCTTGGTGTACCACCTTTCCTCACTTTGATCCATGTGGTGTTTCCTTTGTTCTGTTCTGACGACTGCCTCCTGGTCCAAGTGTAGGTTTCACATAAGCATAATCGTGATTGTTAGCCTATATGCTATAAAATGACAATTTTAATAGAGTTTCATAAAAACACAGAACCTTTTATTAGTGACGACAGTATCATTGCTGCTAATATCCTTAACATAAACTTTCTTCATTTATAGCCATTAAAGAGGATGAAGACAGCCGTTACAGAGAGTTCATTGTAGGAGAGTTTGCATCACCTACCACAGTAACATCTATTGTTGTCAAACAATCGTAATTAGAAATGGGAGAAGCCAAGTGATCAATAGTAATCAAAGAGTTTACAATGGTTCAAGTATTTTGTGGAAACATCTCCTATGTCTGATCTTACCTCACCAACTCAGAGAAATGTTATGTAAAGTAATAATAAATAAATTATACTGATTTTTTTTTAAAAAAGAAATCCAAGTAAAGATTGCACTGGTCAAGTATTTTGCAAAAGACCTCTTCAAAATAGTAAAAGCAAATCACTTTAAGGACTAAGAGATGCCTGACACAAGCCATGGTATATGTTTTCAATTGCCTCACATGCATAAGAAGAAAGTAGACAGTAAACAAGGGAGACCAAAGAAGAATTGATGGCTTTGAATTGTGGAATTGGCCAAGAACATTGACTATATCAACTGCTTGAAGAACGAGCAAATCTGTCTTGGAAGAAATAAAGCCAGAAGGCTTCTCAGAGGATGGCAAATGTTTGTTTCACATACTTTGAACATTTTATCAGGAGAGACTAGTTCCTTGGTAAAATAGGGGGTCAGCGATGAGATGGATCAACACAGTGACTCTACTAACTATGGGCTCAGTCACGGCAGGGACTGTGAGGATGGTGGAGGTCTGGGCAGTGTTTTGTTCTGTTGTACACAGGGTTGCTATCAATTAGAACAAACTAGATGCCACCTAGAAACAACAGCGCACAGAGTCCTTGAGGTGACGTGATAGCAGACAGAGAAGTGTCTGAAAGACTTTGGTTGGTTTGTATCAGCCATGAACCTACAGATTTTTTAAACTCCTCTTTCAGTTAGTAGAGTGAATGATCCCAGTCTCTTGTCTTTGGATCCGTTCAATGTCTTCACCACAGACCCTCTGTGTCTAGAACTGGTCCTTCTGTTGGATGTACTGTTTCTGTCTGTTCTTCTGGGAGCTCTACATAGCTCTCAATACCTGCTTCAGGATTTAAGGCCTTGAGGATCATCTGGAACTGACCCTGAGTGAACTTTTTCTAAAAGTGTTATTCTTCTTTTGATAATATGCACTATTAATAAATTGTTTTTGTTATGCAATAATTGTTTTGGTGAGTTTTCTGCTTGAGTTTTTTCCTTTTTTTAGTTTCATGCCTCATCAGTGAATGAATGTCCCAATCACCAGTGAATGAGTGGTCCTAAGCATCCTCTTCTACCAGTGGTCACCTGAGGGTGTCCATAGGAACAGAGCTGAGGCAAACCCAGATCTCTGACTCGCAGTGCTCTTTCCAGTGTAGTTTTTTTAACTGCTTAGTCAGATGCGGAGCGGAGCTGATAAAACGTACTTCTCACTCAATGCCATAGAGTCAGCTCCAACCCATAGCAGCCCTCCACCAGGTATCTGAGGCTGTAAATCTTAACTGGAAGAGATTGCTCATCTTTCTCTCAAAGTACATTCAAAAGACTCAGCCTTTTGGTTAACAATGCCACATCCTATGGGCTATACCCACAGAGCTCTTAGAATGTACTTCTTGTTAAGTGCCTTTGTTGTTCTTGTTCCTTTTTTTGCATTCGAGTTGGAACTGATGCCTAGTTGACCTTGTAGTGGGTTTTCAGAGGCAGTAAAATACATGAGAGGAGATTACCATCTTTCTCCCACGGATCATGTGGTGAATTCGAACTGTGTGCCTTTTGGATTGTAGCACAGATTCTTACCAGTAGGCCTTTGAGTTGACTACAACTCAAAGTAACTCTATGAACAACAAATTGAAACCTTGCACTATCCTGCATCATCTTCCCAATCTTCACCATGCTCAAGCCCATTGTTGCAGGCACTGTGTCAATCCATCTCACTGAGGGTCTTCTTCTCTTTCTTATCTTCTCTTAAAATTTTGTTTATTTATTAAAATAATTTAAAACATCAAAGTGCTTTGGATTTTTGTTTTTTAAAAACCCAACAAACCATGGGCAGTTTGAGCAGTGCTTGCTTCTTCTCACTGTAAAACTTAAAATTCAGAGGAAGCACTTTGACAATGAACTTTGAGTTAACAGTCCTTTAGAAGTTTGGATTCACTTTTAATATTTTATTCTCTTTTTCACTTTTTCTTAATTGTGATTTTGACAAAAGTTTACAGAAAAGTTATATTTTCATTTATTCATTGTTGCACGTTTTCCTCCCTCACTTCCCAGTTCACTTAAAAAAAAAAAACCAATTCATTCATTGTTGCATGATTTCCTCCTTCCTCCAGCCCACTTTGCTATGTACCTCTTATTCTAAACTGTTGTCATACAAATAATGCCTAATCATATATCCTTTTAAATAGTTCTTTCCCATATCTGTTCAAATGCAGTGTTCATTATTTATCTCCTCTTGTTAGTTTACCCCCAACCCCCATGTCAGTCCTGTTTTATAACAGTGATGTTATGCAGAGTTTGTCCTTTTGTGACTGAGGCATTTCACTCAGCATAATGTGCTCCAGGGTCACCCATATTGTATAATATTTTATGAGTTCCTTGTTTTTTTCAGTGCTACATAATTTTTCTGTCTATTCATTTGTTGATGAGCACTTGGGTTGCTTCCATCTCTTTGCTATTGCGAATAATGTAGCAATAAATATGGGTGTTCACATAACTGTTTGTTTTGGTTGGCAGCTCTGATTTCTTTAGGGTATATTCCTAGTAGTGAAATTGCTGGGTCAAATGGTATTTATATTTTCAATTTTTTAAAAAAGCACCATACCACCTTCCACAGTGGTTGCACCATTTTACATCCCCACCAGCAATGAATAAGGGTTCCAATCTCTCCACAACCATGCCAGCATTTATTGTATGCTATTCTGTTGAGCTTTGCTATTGTTACTGGGGTGAAATGATATTTCATAGTTATTTTTCTTCCTCACTTTTGAAGATCTTTTTTCCCTCTCATGTCTTATTCCAAGAACTTGCACCTCCTGAGAACATGCTCAAAGTATGTGAATTGACATTTCAACATTCTTGCCTCCAAGGAGCACCCTAGTTGCATTTCCTCCAAGACAGATTTATTTGTTCTTCTAGCAGTTCATGAGCTATTCAATATTTTAGACAACACCACAATTCAAAGGCATCAGTTCTTCTTGTATCTTCCATACACATTGTTCAACTTTGACACACACATATGAAGCAGTTGAAAATATCATAGCTTGGGTTAGGGACCCCTCTCATTAATCTTTAAAGTCACACCCTTGTTCTTTAGCCCTTTAAAGAGGTCCTTGACAGCAGAGCTGCTCAATGAACACATCTTTTTATTTCTTCACTGTTAACTGTTATAGGTGTTAATTGTGGAACCAAGTAAAGTGAAATGAATGCACTTGGCTACTTCAAACTCACAGGATCACAAATGACAGCAAGACCTAAGGGAAGTATTGTCTCCACAATGGAATTAGATTATCCCTCAATCCAGACAGTGTGACTATGACTTTTTTCCCCTCATTTTTTAAAATTAATTTTAATGAAAGTTTACAGATACTTTGGATTTCCAGTCATTCATTGTTGTACTTGTCTCCCTGCCCATCCCACTCCCCCAAGTCGCTCTTCTCTTTGAAAAGTTAAAGAAAAATTCTTTCATTGTTATGGAGGCTGCATTCTTTGATCTTCAACAGCAAGCGCTTCAAGTCCTTCTCACTTTCAGCAAGCCCACTCCACTCCGTGACTATGACTTCTTATATCTCTTTCTTCTGTAAAGTGCAAGCACTATCTATTTGATCCTTAAACCACAGCAAAAATCAGACTTTGGGGTGTAGTGGGTTTTAGGACTATGAGTGGTAATGGATCTCTGCTCTATTATAGACTCTTGGAATCATAGAGGCAGAAGGGAACCATGGAGGTGCGCAGCGGTCCCAGGCAAGGAATCTTTACTGGGCAATATGGACAGGTGGTCACCTGAGCCAGAGACTCGATTTTCCTCTCAACGGTGAGCTTCCTGTCCTTTGAAATGTTCGAGAAGAGTGGTCTTGCTATATAGGGCTTTCTGCGTAGAAAATGTGGCCAGATCACGCAACTCCATGCTGTTTCCTGCACATGTTTTATCTACTGCCTATTAAGTTGCGCTTTGTGCATATCAAAGATTTTCAACCGAGTAAACGTCACAGGTTATTAATAGCAGAAATAACCGCCACCATAGATCCTGTTTTTTATTTCTTAGAGGTTTAAAACGTTTCCTTGGTCTCCTAGGACAGAGTCTGGACTTAAATTTACATCCGTCCATTTCCAAAAGCTTTCTGCAGCTCTAGAATTCCATACCACTCCCAAAAAAGGAACAGAGCAGCTTGTGAAGTTCCTTCCCAACTTATAGAGAGAGACTCCGAAACCTACCCTCCCCGGAACTCCAAGCCAGTGGGCGGGGCCTTATCTGTCCTCAGACACACTCTGCAGGGCCTGTGGGCGGAGTCCCGAGTACCCGTGGGCAGGGTTTGGAGCGTCTGTGGGCGGGGTCTATGGTGCCTGTGGGCGGGGTCGACTCTGGCCGTGAGTGTGTGCCGGGCGTGGGCGGGGCTGGCGGGTGCGCCGGCCGGAAGTGATTAGGTGGGCGGGGCCGAGCTGGTCCGTGAGTCCCTGACGCTGCGTCCTGGGACTCAGAGGGCGGCCTTGCCTGTGTACTTTACTGCTCTTCTCTCCGGCACACTGACCGACCCCCCGCTGACAATGGTGACACGCCTGTTACTGCGCGTCTGGCCCCAGAGCCATGCCCTCCGCGCTGGAAGCCCCTGCCGACCACTCAGCGCTGGCCCTGCGCCCAGCCAGTACCTGCAGCGTAGCATTGTGCCCACCATGCACTACCAGGACAGCCTACCCAGGTGAGCCCAGCATCCCCGTCCTGTCGTATGTACCCTTCCAACTTAGGGTCGCCCTCAACCTGAGTTCAGACACTCAAGACTCCTTTACCTAACTTCTATCCGCTCCCTCCAATCGGGAACCCTCCTGGACTACGAATCTTTCCACCCATAAACCTCAGTACCTTGAAATTCTCTTCCAGAATTTACATTGTATCCCGGGACCTACATCTTAATTATCTTCTCAGGCTTCCTCTTAAGTACCCCAGCCAGATCCCCCAAGAGTCCCTTCACATTTAACTATGAAAACTCTTTGACCTGCATAAGAAACTCCACCCTAAACCCTCTTAGTTCTCTCGAAATGCCTTCACGACTGCACCAGAATTTGGATTATATGCCGTTTCTGGCATGCAAGAATTCCTTTCCTGAAATTCTCTCAACACTCCACCCTCTACAGCCTTCTAAATTCCTAATAGCTCAGAACCCACCACTTGACTTGTCATTGTACCAGTACTCAAGTTCCTTTAACACCTCATCAGTCCATCTCCAGCACACTCACCTTTATTCTCAATTTACTGAAACCACAGAATCCAAACCCCCTGCCAAGGGGATTCTGACCAGTAGCCACCCCCGTGGCAAGCTGTGCTGCATGCAATCCCGAAGGCACGCGGCTACGAATCCACCAGCTGCTCTGCAAAAGGATGGATAATCTCCTGTGCAAATACTTGGCTCTGAAAGCCCACCAGAGGGTCAGTTATGGGTCAGTTCTGACTCAGTGGTACACAACAACAACAACAGCATCAGATTTCTAAAGCTGGAGGATACAGCCATCTGCCTCCCATGGAGCACCTGATGTATTCATACTACTGACTTTTAGGTTAGCATAACACACCAGCCACCAGGGCTTTTACCCTCAGATCCTGGAAACTTCTCATCCTCATAAAACTTCTAAACACTCTCCACCAAACTCCTGCCCATAAAAATCTCCCTCACTTACATTGTTGTTAGATGTTGGTGAGTCAGTTCAGAATCATACAAAGCAAGTCTGACAGCAGAATTAAACAATGGTTGGTCCTGTGCCATCTTTACAACCGCTGCTGTTTAACCCATTATTGCAATCATTGGGTTAGTTCATTTCATTGAGGGTCTTCTTTTTTCCCAAACATTATCTTTCACTAGGGACTATGACCATATTTTTATATACTCTGTAATTTCAGGTAACTCTGAGGAAATTCCAGACACCATCTTAATTACTCAATCCAAACCCCACTTGACTCAAGTCCAGAACCTGTCCATATTTTATCTACTCCTTACCTTGGGCTCCTCTGTTCCCCTTCATCACCCAAAACACTTCACCCAGAATCTGCCTTCCTTCTGAAAATAGGTCCAATATCTTTTTCTTTCCCTTTTCCCTCACCTGATGTTTCCTCAAAATCTGGCCCCCAGTTTTTCTAGTTTTTTAATTCCTGAATTGCCAGGTCTCCTTCACCAGTATTAGAAATTTCTCCCAATTTTTTCACCCTCAAAGCAAAACTAAGCTAACTACTATATTTACTCACAAGTTTTCCCCCTAGAACTGTGTTTCAAATTTGCCTCCAAAACCATTCTTACATCCTTTGATAATGGTTAAGTTAGTATTTAAGGCAGTATGATATATAAATCATAATCATAATCCTTGTCCTACCCTACAAATGTAGGTTAACCAACAAGTTCTTGTTAGATGCTGTTCGAGTCCAGAACAACTCATAGCGACCCTATGCACAACAGATTTGAACCATCCTATAGCCTCACACTTCCAGACACACAAGAACCCATTGCGAAAGAAACTGTGTCAGTCTATTTGGATGAGGATCTTTCTCTCTTTCAACCTTCCGCCTTTGCAAGCATGATGTCCCTCTCCAAGGAATAGCCTTTCCTAGCAACATGCCCAGAGTATGTGAGATGAAATCTAGTCATCTTTGCCTCCAAGAAGTACTCTGGCTATACTTTCTTTTGGCAGTCCATGGATATTGAGTACTCTTCTCCAACCTCGAGAAGATTTTTCTGTTTGCTTGTTTGCATTACTCTTTCTTTGGGTGACAGGACTCCAAATTTGTGTGGGAAACTAAAGTACTCATGTGCACCATTAGCCAAGTTAGCCAGCCTAAGCGATGGGCACATGACCCAAGCTAGGCAATCTTATAGTGGCTTCTGGGAACTTGAATCTAGATCATAAGAATTAAAAGACAGAACAAGAGATAAAAAACAAAAAAAGAGAGGTCTTCCGGTCCATGTGTTGGAGGTTAGCTAGCACTCCTACCACCATGAATAGAACAAACATTTTGTCACAGTCTCCCCAAGTAATGAGTTGTGCTTTTTCTCTGTGTCTAGGAACCATTCTTAGTCCACCATCCATCATCAGTGCTCACTCGCACCCTCCCAGGCATATCATCCAAAGTGATTTCTTGTAATATGACAGTGAGCAAGGGTCGAAGACAAACTAAAATGAAATGTTTCAGTTCCCACCCTGTTGTTGTGATGTGTTGTCAAGTTGCTTGCAACTCATAGCAACCCTATATACAGTAGCCCTGAAACATGCTCTATCCTGTGCCAACTGTCTCTGACCCACCTACCCTCATTATGCCAGTCACTGAATCAATACATCTCATCGATGGTCTTCTTCTCTTTCTCTGTCCTTTCACTTTTCCAAGCATGATATCTCTCTCCAAGGACTGCTTCCTCCTTGCAGCATGCCCAAAGTATATCAGACAAAGGCTCAGAATCCTTGCCTCCACAGAGCAGCCTGGTCTCTCCGGGAAGAACCTGTTTGTTCTCCTGGCAGTCCATGGTATGTTCAATGCTCTTCTCCAGCACCACAGTGCAAAGGCATCAATTCTCCTGTCAACCGTAGTCATTGTCCAGCTTTGTGATGCATAGCAAGTTCCCACCTTACTCTAAGTTTTTCAGGAGGAGAGGGAGAGAGAAAGGAAAAAGGTCTTTGTGCCTGTGAGATAGTGCTCCTCCTCCACATAGTATCTGTGCTAGTGCACAGGAACTGAGATGTGGGGGAAAGGTGAGGGCTCAGAGAGCCTGCCTTCGCTTGCCAAGCTCAGAGTCAGGTGTTCATTGACTTTATTTATTTATTTTACTGTGGCTTGGGTGAAAGTTTATGGAGTAAGTTAGTTTTCCCTTCTACAGTTGAAGCATGCTTTATTTCATAACATTAATTAGGATTCTCTCAGTGTAACAGCTCTCTCCCCACTGCCTCCCTGAGTACTCCATTTCCATTCATCCTTCTTTCCTACTCCTTCCTAACTTCTGAACTTTGTCTTTGGTTAAATGCTGACCTTTTGCTTTCTAATTGTCAATTACTCTGAAGAATATTACTGGGTGATTCCCTGGAGGGGGTCCCTTTCCAGATTTGAAGGGTGTCCTAAGGGCTGCAGTCTCAGAGGTTCTACCACACTCTATCAAACCAGCGACTCTGGGCTTTTTTATGATTTTGAACTTTACTCTTTATTTTCTCCACTTCTGTCCAGGACTGTCAATGATCTGGACATTCATTTCCCCACCCTACCCAACAGCCACTGACTTTTAAGGCAGGCCTGAGCCCCACTCAGAATTAATTCTCAGAAGAATTTTTTTCCCCATTTTTGAGTTAGAAAATTGAAAAACATAATCGCAATCATTTACTGCATGGAAGTTTTTAGAAATATGAGACTGAATAATACCACTCATCGCCTGTGTATCACCTTGAACAGCTGACCTCCACACCAGACAGGCCTCTGATACTACATTCTGTACGTTGAGACTTCCAAAAGATGAGAGGTTGAGATTCCTTCTCTTTCTGAAATTCTAGACTGGTGAGATCTATGACTTTTTTAATATAGCATTTTATTGTGTTTTAGGTAAAAGTTTACACATCAGTTCCCATTCAACATTCAGTGTGTTAATGTTTTATCATTATTGTTATTCTGTTAATAATTTTCTTAGAATGACATGTCTTGTTCATGGAGTAAAGCTAGACATGTGACTTTTGTAACTGATTTGGGGAGAACTTTGATCAGTTTCCAGACCGGCCACTCTAGCTGTTACCTCTGGCAACTCAGCTAACTTCTTTGACCCATCAGTTCTTAGAGTTGAAGGAGAAATGACAACACATAGCTAGTTCTTGGGGTTATTGGAATGTTAGAGTGAAATAAGATATCAGTGATAGGGAACAATCATAATCAGTTGCTTGTGAGAGTTACTAGTCCCTTTGTAGCAGGGACTCACTCTCTTCCTTGTTCTGTTCTTATAAGTACAGCTTCCTGTTCCTCTACTTTTTTACTGTGATTTCAGTGCAAGTTTACAGAGCATACTGGTTATCTGTTAAATAATTCATACGTATTTTGTTTCATGACACGGATTGCAGTCCCCACAGTATAACACACTCTTTCCATATTTTGGATTTTGTGGAAAGTATTGAGAAGAATGAGAATTGTTGTGGTGGTGTTAGGTGCCCTCGAGTTACTTGTGGCTCATATGCACAATAGCTCTGAACTCTAACTATCCTGAGCCTGTCTCATTGTCTCTGACATGCTTAACCCCATTTCCCCAGTCAATGAATCTCATCCAGCATCTTCCTCTCCTGTGCTGTCCCTTCACCCTTCCAAACATGATGTCCTTCTCCAAGGACTAGTTCCTCCTGAAACATGCCCAAGTGTGTAAGACAGTTTCAGAATCCTAGTCTCCATGGAGCAACTTGGTTTCACCTCTCCAGGACAAACCTGTTTGTTCTCTTGGTAGTCCATGGTATGTTTAAGACTTTCCTGCAGTACTGTAACTCAAAGGCATCAATCCTTCTGTCATCCTTAGTCATTGTACAGCTCTCTGATTCAAAGCAAGTAATTGCAAAGACCATGGTCTGGATCAAGTGTACCTTAGTCTCCAGACTGACATCATTGCTCTGAAGAGGTCCTTGATAGCAGATTTTCCCAATGCAGTTCAACTTTTGCTTTCCTGGCTGCTGATGCCAAGAGTGTTGGTTGTGGAACCTAGCAAGC